TAACAAACAGTGTTTCCTGTAGTTTAGACTCTAATCTAACCAACAGTGTTTTCTGTAGTTTAGACTCTAATCTAACAAAACAGTGTTTTCTGTAGTTTAGACTCTAATTTAACAAACAGTGTTTCCTGTAGTTTAGACTCTAATCTAACAAACAGTGTTTTCTGTAGTTTAGACTCTAATCTAACAAACAGTGTTTTCTGTAGTTTAGACTCTAACCTAACCAACAGTGGTTTCTGTAGTTTAGACTCTAATCTAACAAACAGTGTTTTCTGTAGTTTAGACTCTAATCTAACCAACAGTGTTTTCTGTAGTTTAGACTCTAATCTAACAGTGTTTCCTGTAGTTTAGACTCTAATCTAACAAACAGTGTTTTCTGTAGTTTAGACTCTAATCTAACAAACAGTGTTTTCTGTAGTTTAGACTCTAATCTAACAAACAGTGTTTTCTGTAGTTTAGACTCTAATCTAACAAACAGTGTTTTCTGTAGTTTAGACTCTAACCTAACCAACAGTGGTTTCTGTAGTTTAGACTCTAATCTAACAAACAGTGTTTTCTGTAGTTTAGACTCTAATCTAACCAACAGTGTTTTCTGTAGTTTAGACTCTAATCTAACAGTGTTTTCTGTAGTTTAGACTCTAATCTAACAAACAGTGTTTTGTGTGGTTTAGACGTTAACATATTCCTCAGGCCTTTACGTGATTTCACGATGTTCACTGAGGATTTCGTGTTATTTGATCATTGTTAAAATAATTTGTAAAGTTTGTTTAAAGGCGGAGTCAGTAGAACAACATTCAAACTGGGCCCCTGCCCCAGAAGCCCCGCCCTCTGCAGGACGTAGTGTACACGTTTACTGCTTGTACCTACACTGCAAGCTAACGCATGCTAGCACAAGCTAACCGCTAACCCTGACTCTCCAACAGGAAGCAGTTTGTTTTTGTTTTTGTTTGTGTTCATTTAAAAACATGTGAACATAAATGTTGAGTCATGTGGCTCTCATGGTTCCTGACGGCTCTGTGCTTTTTTTCTCCACAGGTCTTAAAATCAGATGAATACATCTGAGACGTGTGGCGTGCGGCGTGCTTACTGACTGTCTTCACCATGATGACCATAAAACGATCCCACGCTGGACAGTGAACACAACAACACTGTTTGTCTCCTGTTTGAATTCGTCTCAGATTTGTCACGGCGCTCGCCGGGTGCAGTTATGCACCTGGAGGTCAAGGTAGCCCTGAACTTTATCGTGTCCTACCTGTACAACAAGCTTCCTCGCCGTCGGGCTGACCTTTTTGGCGAGGAGCTGGAGAGGATTCTGATGTCACGTTATGAGGGTCACTGGTACCCAGAAGCCCCCCTCAGAGGCTCTGCTTTCCGCTGCATCCACCTGGGCGCCCCCCGGGACCCCGTGGTGGAACTGGCGGCAAAGAGGAGCGGCCTGGACACGGAAGAGGTGCGGGCTAACGTCCCTCCAGAGCTCAGCGTGTGGATCGACCCGTATGAGGTGTCCTATCAGATCGGAGAGAAGGGCGCCATCAAGGTGCTGTACCTGGAGGATCCTCCAGGCCTCGACTGTGATGGAGACAGGGCGGAGTCAGAGGGAGACGTGGAGGGGGAGGAGTCAAAGAACGTGGGCTTCAACCCCGATGCTCAGGTTTTTATTCCCGTGGGAAGCCAGGCGTCTCCCGCCCTCATGCCGTCTCTCTCCAGCTCTCCTACACCGGCGCCGCCCTGCCCCTCCCTCTTCACCTACCCGAGATCCAGCACGCCCACAGACTCCGCCCTCCACTCATCCAACACCTCCACCCCCTCCCCTCCCAGCGGTGGGCTGCCCTACCTCTCCCCTCAGCAGCCGCCTGCCGCCCGTCCTCAGCCCATCGTCTTCACCACTGCCAGCTTTGCCGCCACCAAGTTCGGCTCCACCAAGATGAAGAAGAGCAGTGGGGCGGGGTCAGCGGCTGGCTCCACCCAGAGGATGCTGTCTCGCTCTCCCACCAACATCTCCGCCCCCGAACTGCTGAAGCACAAGCCGCTCTCTCTCTCCCTGCACTCGCTCGGGACGCCGCTTTCCAGCCAGCTCTCCCCTAACGCCAAAGAGTTCGTCTTCCCAGGATCCCCCCCCCCCTTTACTTTGATCCTGACACCCCGCCCATCCAGCCCCACATTAGCCCATTCCAACCTCAGCACTCCGTCACTACCCACCCATCCTTCGACCCGTTCTCCAGTCCCCCTCCTCCTCAGAGTGTGGGCATCATGGGTGGCAGTGGGATCCCGTACATGGAGAAGGCGCCGTTTGTGGACGGATTAGGAAACTACAACCTGCAATACTCGAGCCAGTCCTTCCAGCCGGTGGTGCTGGCTAACTGAGAAGCTAACATGAGCTAATGACCTGTTTGACTACACAGACTCCCAACAGCTCATGTCTTTGTTTTTGCCCCGCCCCCTCTGATGTCATCACTGTCTGTATGTCGGCGTTGATAACGGGGTGGGGGAATGTTTCTACCTTGAGTTGTTGCCAATCTCTTCATGTTTGTTCTTTTACGTTGATTGTTCATTTCTTGAGTTCGCTCTGAGAGAACGAGGCTCGCCAAGTCCTGCAGGAACGCTGTCTGTGTTGAGTGGTGATAAATGGCTGCATGACTATGAAGGAGAAGTTTTGAGTGGAAACACAGAGGAGAGAGAGGGCGAGAAGAGAGAGAGAGAGAGAGAGAGACCCACTCCTTCAGACCCACAACACGATTGTGCTGAGCTATGACTCTCCCCTCTCTCTCTTTCTTTCTCTCTCTCACCCTCTCTGTCTCTGTCTCTCTCTCTCTCTCTCTCTCTCGCCCTCTCTTTCTCTCTCTCTCGCCCTCTCTGTCTCTGTCTCTCTTTCTCTCTCTCGCCCTCTCTCTCGCCCTCTCTTTCTCTCTCGCCCTCTCTCTGATGGACATGAAGATTTCATTTGAATGTTTAACGCATTTCAGATCTTCAGTCTTTTAAAAGTTGCAGCAGAGAGAGAAAACGATGTCTTTGTAAAAGAGGGAGGAGCGAGGCTCCTCCCTCTTTTACAAACGTGTGGTAATCAAAAACAGTAAGTGACCCCCGATTGGCTGCTTGTGATTGGTCTCTGCAGGTGAGCTTGGCGCTCTGAGCTCCACAGACGTGATGCGAGATGACCTCGTGTTAAAGCGTCGCGTCGACACGTCGCTTCATTTGAATGTTTGAAAAATGATCGTCCGCTCAGTGTGTGCGTGACACGTTGATTTGTGTTTGAGGGGCGGAGCTCTGAGGTTTTCTACTTTGTTTTGTAACTTTTCAGATTTCTATCTGGATGTTTTTGCAGGTTGTAAATACAGAGTGCTCGTGTTGTGTGTTTAGTTTCTTACATGCTGAAGGTATTTTTTCACTGAAGATGAATATATATGCAAACAGACTGAATAAAGATGTTTCCATGACAACGTGTTGAATGTGTACCTCGTGCAGACGGGTCAGGACGAAGTCGAGACGTCAATGTTTACAGACGCTCTGAAGGAGAAAACGAGCTCGCATCACTTTTTCTGTTTGTTCAGATGGCGCTGACCAAGTCCAACTCAACATGCGTCACTTCCTGTGAGCGGGTCGTCACTTCCTGTGAGCAGGTCGTGCTCGCCCTGTCACTCAGAGAATCTGCACAGGAAGTGACCTCTGTGTTTCTGAAGCCATATCCACACGCTCTCTTTCTCCAAACGCCATGATCTCAATGACCCTGAAGAGGCGGGAACTACCTCTCTGAATAACACACACCTGTCCTGAGTGTGAAGCCCAGCGATGAATGTTAGTCAGTGTTGTGGGAGGCGTCTGCGTTCGACTCTAAAGTCGTCTGCTTTAGGACACGCCCCTAAACGTGGAGGACAGTGAGTGTTTGAACCTGAAGAAGAAAGCTGCCGTGCGCCCGCCTCTCTCCGTGTGTTCAGCACGTTTCTTGATGTTTAGATATTTATGACCACGTGCGTTCTCTCCCGCCTCTGTTGAATTCTTTTCTACTTCCTGTCCATGAATCTACTGACAATGCAAAGACCTGTTTTTCTGTGGCGCCCTTCGAGACGACACGACCACTTCCTACTGCAGTTTCTTATTGTTCCGATTCTTTTTTAAGTTTGTAATAAAAGAATGTGATTGGCCAAAAGAGGCGTGAGATTGTGTCCTCATTGTGTCAACGTGTTAAAAACATGATGATGTCACGATGGACAGGAAGCTGCACACAGAACATGCTGAAGGTCATCTGGTTACCATGGTAACAAACAGGCGTCGTGTGTGTGTGTGCGCGCGCGCGCGCCCATCACCTCATGCCTTTAACTGCGTCCCTGTTCTCCATCTTGTTTCCTCCTTTCTTCTCCTCAGCATCCTCTCCCCCTCCCCCTCCCCCTCCCCCTCCTCACACACCCCCCTGCTGCTGTTTGAGGCTGCTGTTATGTAACCCTTCTCCCCGGTGTTTCGATATGATCATTACGCAACACCTCGTCCTCTGAATACAGACGAGCTGCAGGTGTGTGTGCGCATGTCTCCTGTCCAAGGTCAGAACGTTACAGAAACACAGAAACCAAACTGAAGAGAAAAACTGTTTCAAGTTTTTTTTCTTTTCGGGGAAACAAAGACGCACTTTGACAAACACTGAAGGTTACAGCTTCAGGCTGTGGCGCCACCTTCAGGTAAAGAAACAAACTGATGCTTGTGCTGAAGGTTGTCTGATACCACGTGTTTAAAAATGATACTGCTAAGAGGGTGGAGCTCTCTCCTCTCCAGCTGCGCACGGGAGTTTGTATCTGAAACTTTGTTGCCGTGGTAACAAAATGTTTTTGTTATGAGCTCACTGGAGCCACCTGCAGGCAGAGTGTTGTACCTTTTTTAACTTTACATTCAGGGCAGTCGCTGTTTTTGAAATATGTTGATGCTTAATGAGCAGACTCATGTCATACCCATCTCTGTCTGTAGGGGGGCGATAGACATTAATATAATTGAAAAAGAAAAGAAACTTTAAGCTTGAATTCATGAAAGATGTTTTTATTCAGAGCTCCACATCAAAACCACTCAAACAAAGTTTGCTACATGGTGTATGCAGAAATATTCACAATATTCATCCGCGTGTCTGTGAAGCCACACGTCTTAAAAAAACAACCCGGAGGTTTGCATTCATCAAAACTGAATAATGCAGCCAATGACATGTCAGAATGTCACCTGCACAGAGAAAGTGTTTTAAAGTCCGTTAAACATCTCCGTCATGAAACCAAATATCAGAGAAGTCATCAGGAAACAGAGTCCGGATCAAACTCACTCACACACAGACAGGGGGCGCTGTAGAGCAAGACAGCTCTCTGCCTGCACAGCACCCAGCGTCTCTCTCACACACACACACTCACACACACACACACACACACACTAAGTACACTTGGTGTCAGATGAGAAACCGTCGACTGTGAGGGCTCATGCATCAGGATCGTGACGTACAGACGATCCAAAGTGGAAGCACAAAGACTTTTTATGTTACATCATATTCAGTTTACAGACACGATCACTGAAAGTTAACAGGCGGTACATTACACAGGATTATTGCCACTCGGATGTTCTCTCTTTAGTTTTGAGTCCCGTAACAGTCTGTCTCAGCGGCGTCCTCCTAAAGCGTCTCCAGTGGAAGTGTTGGATGAGGTAAATCACTGTGAGCTGTGTGTGTCTCACACACATACAGGAGATTGTAGAGATGGAGAAAAGAAAGGTCCAGAAGCACAGTTAACCCTTTAATCCCTGCACTGGTTTCACTATTGATCCTTAAAGGAGACGTATGGATGAACAATCAACAGATGCTTTATTACCATCAGAATAAATACAGCACTCATTGACTATTTGGCAGATAGAAGGAATAGTATTGGGTTAATAACAAAGACTGGGTCTCTATGAGACCATCACTTATTTACAAAGCAGTCCACTTTGGGCTACTCGTTCAAAAATCAATCCAGCCGTCACTACACTGAGAGCAGACAGGCAGGGGCTGGAGCGCCCCCTACCTGCAGTGTGCAGTAAAATAAACATCCCTACATATGAACGTACCCCTCCACCTATGAGGGCCCCGCAGGTCATCACACATTTACCTTCAACACTAACTCTCTAAAAACTACAACTCCCTGTCTCTGCTGTAGTTTCACCTCCTCTGTAAGGAACAGACATGTCTCTTTAAATGTGTGTGTGTGTGTGTGTGTGTGTGTGTTGAGAAGCTGATCTGAGGTCAGTAAAAAGTCCCAGCAGCTTCACTCTGAAGGTCATGCATGTTTGTCAGGTACCTGTCTCACCTGTAGTCTGTGTGTTGGGACCGCTCAGTGATGCACACACTCGTTTGTGCTGCAGGGGGCAGACTGTATATACAGACTGTGTGTGTGTGTGTGTGTGTGTGTGTGTGTGTGTGTGTGTGTGTGTGTGTGTGTGTGTGTGTGTGTGTGTGTGTGTGTGCAGAGGAGTGCATGTGTCACAACAAGGAAGAACTGTCTCCTCCTCCTCCTCCTCCTCCTCCTCCTCCCACAGGTTATTGTAAATACAGACATGAGGATAAGTGCAACATGAGGACAGGTGAGGGAGGGCCAAAGTGCACCTTTCTAAAAACAGGACGTTTGTCTGACTCTTGCTTTGGTCCTTGAAGAAGAAGAAGAAGAAGAAGAAGAGTGTTGCACTGAAACAAACTGATGATTGGTCGATAGTTCAGACTGCTCTGTGTCCTGACTGTCTGTGATTGGTCCTCAGACGGACCGTGTGTCCTCTCTCTCTCTCTCTCCTCTGAGTGGAGGAGCCAGGCGCTCTCCACAGGCCTCCCTGTGACTACAGCTCCCATGATGCCTCACTGCCTGCAGTGTGTATCAGAGACTCAGTGACTGGAGCTTCACTTCAAATTGAGATCCCTTCATGTTTGTATCGGTGTTGAATTCTGCGGGGGCGGAGTTCAGCTTCTCGTTGATTCGTCATTTCTTACGGAGGTCGCGGTTCTTACAGCGGGCCGTACTTCGCCTCGTAACGGGCCAGGATGTTCTTACAGCGGCCGCAGTCCTTCCTCATCTCGGCCACCTGCTGTCTCAACGCCGAATTCTCCCGCTCCAGGAAGGAGGCTCGCACCGTGATCTGGTTCTCCTTCAGACGGCGAGCGTCACGAGAGCGCTTCGCCGGCACGTTGTTCTTCTTCCTCCTCGACCAGTACTTATCATCCTAACAGAACCAGAACCACAGAGATAGAACAGAACCACACAGTTAATAAACAGAACCACAGTTAATA